GGGGGGGCGCAGGGAAAAAAGTAGGGTACTTTCATCAAAGAATATTTCAAACGTAATAAGCAAGTCAGCATTGGTCGTTAAAGGAGGGGGTGGTTGGTCTGCCTCCAACTTATCAGTCAGGGATAACCCAAGCAGAGTGGAATTCAAAGTACAGGCAGAAAGACAGAGATGAAATAACATCCTCAAGCCGAGAATTGAACTCACCTCTTTCAAGTTTTAAACAGAAAGTCTAACCACTACACCAGACACAAGAGGAAGGGTGGATAAGAGAAAGACAAAACGGATGGAAGAGATGAGAAGGGTCCACACAGAACAGATACATAAAATGAGAAGGATCAATGCAGGACAGAAAGAAGAGATGAAAATGGTCAATACAGGAAGGAAAGAGGAGACGAAAAGAAACCTAGACAGGATAAAAGAGATGAAAAGGGTCCAGACAGGACAGACAGAAAAGATGAGAAGAGTCAAAGCGGCACAGATAGAAGAGATGTTGTTTTGTTTTAGTAGAGGTTTTACCGCGCTCGCAACTGCATAAGGTCATTTGAGCGCCAGAAGATTAGAGGTGTTACAAGAGAGTAACAAACATAAAAAAGAAAAAGTGGAGATCAGAACAATAGATGTTTGATAGAAAGAAGGAGCAAACCACACCAGAGCACCCGCCAACCACCTACGGAATCTAGACAGTACAGATAGAAGAGAAGAGAAGAATCTAGACAGGACAGTCAGAAGATTTGAGAAGAATCTTGACAGTTTGGACAGATGATAAGAGAGATTTGTTTTTAAAAGTTTTGCACAACTCGCAACACAAATAGAGGGTGATCCAAAAAAACTTTACAACTTGTTTTTTAAATATCTTCCTCCATACTAAAGTTTTGTGTTTCAGATTTGAACATAACGTTGGGAAGCCAAAAGGAATTGTCTGATATGTATTTTAGATAAGTCCAATGAATGGTTTTGCTCTATATAGCGCATTAAAAAAACAACCCATTTTCAACCTTGTCACCATTTTCATAGCACGACGCACCAGTTCGTATTAGGCCTACCACTAAAAGTTGCAACAATTACGCCATATTGCAAGCTACAGCAATCTAACAAGTCAAAAGAAGTCTGCAGATATTATTTTTCCCATATAATGTTTTCGCCTGCTTAGATCAGGGTTACGTTTAGTAAAGAGAAGAGAGCTTTTTGTATTGAACATTACCTCTCCACAAACTCACCATCCCTGACATTCCGTAAGTTCTGCGCACGGCATGGAGAGAATGCTTAGGTGCCC